TGAAGGCAGCAGGTCCACACTGTGGCCGAGCTCTCCACTGGGAATAACAGCTCTAGGAGGGACAGTGCCTTCTCCCCACAGGTCCCCATCCCACCACAGCCCCAGCCAGCCCCGAGGAGTCAGCACACGGTTGGATGCACAGCTCAGGAGGTGGAAGACCAGCACCTCATGAACCATGGCTTTGGTAGCCATAAAATCAGACGCAGAATGGCACCCTAGGGAGAAAGGCTGAGCCTGCACTTCCATGGGACGCTGCTTGGAGCGAGTGCTGCTTCCCTGCAGCCACCAACCAGCCTCGGGGACACCATCCCTGTCCCTCACTCAGCTCTTCTCACCAGCTATTTAGTGAATGAATTTGAACAGCAGAACGGTGGAAATGGATTTGGCCCAACACCACCACATTCTTGGCAATGACTGTCTCATCTAGAGGCAGGAGCAGCCAAGTCCTCCCTGGCGTGCTCGGGCACAGGTCCATCCCATCGCCATTTACATCAGCGACGCTTGACAATTTGCATTCCCCAAAACTCAGCCCAAGCTCTCCCTTTGGCTCCCAGTTTCACATTGCATGAGTATTTCTAAGACCTCTTCTGGAGGGATTTTACGCCTCAGGGCATCCATCCTCAATTCTTCTGCTTAACACGGAAAGATTTGTCTTGAAACATCAGAAGACAAAGCCCAGAGGAGCTGCTGGCCGGGGAGCCACAGTCCAGAGGAGCATCACCAGCTCAAACCCTGTGATCACCATCACACCACAGCACGGAGGACTGGAGAGAAAAGCAAACACTCCAAATTTGAGGCAGAAACATGAGAACTGGCAGCTCAGAACCGTAAAGCCAGGTGCAGGAGGGAGCAGTGGGGCCGGGGCAGCACCTCACAGCCCAACCACGGCCACCAGGGAGCTGGGACATCTCTGCTCTCACACAGCTCTCCATCACTGCCAAACACCCGGTGCCTCCCCCACCACCACACACCCCCACGGTTCACAGCACTATGTGGGGAAAGGATCGACCGCTCGAGCGTGGACAGGCAGGGGGAAGAATCATACAACAGATCTGGGGAAAACAAACAAACAAACCAACCAAAACCAACCCAAAACAGCAAAAAAAACCCAAACCAAACAACATATTTCACTCCCTTTGAGAAATTCAAATAAGATGCTGCGGTTTACTTTGGAGTTCAGGGGAAAAGGCAAAAGACAGGAGAGCAGTGCATCTCTAGAGAAGGCGAGAAGGATTGCTGCTGCATTTCAGAGAGGTTAGAGGCAAGTGAAGATGGGCTCGGTGTTTTGATTGCCATGGAGATTTCACTTAGAAACCGTTTTTGCTGCCGCATCCCTGCTCAGCAGCAAGAGCTGAGCAGGTTCTCCCAGGGAGTCTCATCTCAGGGGGGTCTGGGCTGGACAGGACCCCACGGGTGCCCAACCACACCATCCTCTGTGCGCAGAGACCAGCCTGGTGAGACCCCGGCCCAGGTCAGGGAGGCTGGGTGGGTCAGAGGGATCTGCTGATCCTCAAGAGCAGACATTAGGGAACTGATCACAGCCTCGCAGGGCCAGGAGAAGCCCCTTTTCCCCAGGAGAGGTGCCCCAGGGTCACCCCCATGTCCCAGATCCCCTGCAGACTTGCCTCCCCTCTGGAAATCACTCAATGATCCAACAATCCTTTGGAGAACAGAGACAAGGGGCCAAGGACAGGACCTTGCACTGGTCCCTTGTCTCCAGCTCCTTCTATATCACACCCTTCACCGCACCAGGCAGAGGGATGCCCCTCTGCCCACCCGATGTAGGCAACATGAACATCTGCTGGTTACCTGCAACCCCCAAACAGCACAGATCTGCACCCAATGGCCAGCCAATCTGGGGACTAGGGGGCTTCTCCAAGGCTGGATAGGATCTTGGAGACCACCTCATCCAGCCCCTGCTTGGGTTTTTGAGCTCCTCCAGGGATGTAGCCCCCATCGCAGGCACCACCGCACCCTGCTGCCATGGAGGGCTCAAAGAGAGGGACAAAACAGGGATGGGGCCAAAACCACCACTGTGGTGTCCTCCGATTCCTGCCCAAGCCCATGAAACTCCCCGCTGGCTGCTCCCTCCATCACAGGAGACCCCCACAAGGTGGTCTCTGCTCCACGAAGCACCACCAGCACCTGGCAGCACAGCACCAGCACATCCCACCACGAGCACCACCACGATGCCACAGCTTCAGCAGAGGAGGTTTTTACCTGCTGGGTTCCTGCAGGGACCTCTGCTCCGGCACAGACCTGACCCCATCACCCCCACCCCTGGATCCTACCCCTGGGGGGATCCCACCCTGAGGGCCTGCATTCCAGCCCTCCTGTTTTCTATTCCTGTACAGAAACTTGCCCCTTTCTCCTCTAAGCTGGCTCTCCCAGCAGCCACTGATGCAGGATTTCTCTTGGAGTCCTGCAGAGTTTGAAGCAGCCAGGCTCCAGGCAGAAGCCACTGAAGCCGTTCAGCCGAAGAGTCAGGAAAATGCCAAGTAATAGATCTCTGGGGATGAGGTCACATCTGAGATCCAAAACGGCTCTTTGCTAATGAAGAGTGATTGCGCTGACGGTTCTGAAAATAAAAAGGAATTACAAAATTCCTAGAAAGAGGCTCTTCAGACTAATACAGTTATTTCAATCAGAAAAATCGTTTCTCTAATCACAGCGATCAAATTCCGCTCTTTATTTTTTTAAATGGCGGGAGGCCTGTCTGTCTCCTCCTGCCCCACGTACAACACGTTTCCTCTGGGATTGTTTTCAGAGTCTTTTAAGATTCTAAATTACCTGTATTTAGCTTATTCCTGCCCAGCATGTCAGGGGGCCAGCAGCTGCTGCACTGACCACATTGGGCATCCTGGGCTCGGGAATCATCCCTGGGCACTAAGGACGGACAAACATTGCAGTTCCCAAATGCACCCAGCAGGTTAACTCACTTTTGGGTCAAATAGGATGGTTTTTTGCACATGGTCACAAGCAGGTACTGTACTTGGTGGTAAAACACAATCCTTCTGCCACGTGCGGCTCCTGCACTGAGTGCAGTGGTGGAAATGTTCCACATTCAGTAATATTACTCAAGAGAAGATGCCAGGGAAGAAAGGGGGGACAGGGAGTGAAGCGAACCCCAAGGTATGGGGTTGTGCCTGTCTCCTGTCCCTCTGCTTTGCCGCCTGCTCCCCAGGGACATGCTCTCCTCCATACACCATCCAGCCTGGCCCTCACCAGACCACCACCTCCTCCTCCTCACCACAGTCCAGGGTCAGCTCCATCCAGAGCTGAGGTCCACCCTCATGCTCTGGCATGACCTGTGCCACCGACAACCCCACAGCATGCCACAAACCCCCCAAAAAACCTTACTGAGGTCCACCCTCATGCTCTCACACGGCCTGTGCCACACAACCCCACAGCATGCCACTAACCCCAAAAAACCTTCTCCCATCAGGCCTGAGGATGGTTTCCAACCCCATCTGGAGAAACCTGAGGACCCTCCTCCACCCACAGACCCATTACACAACATCATTTGCTTGAGCAGCAGATTTTGTGTATGTGGTTGTTGGGTTGTTTTTTGGTTTTTTTTTTCATGCACAGGAACCATTTCCTCCCCGTAACACCAAACCCCTGAAAGGCTCCATCTTCTCCAGCAGCTGTGAGATCTGTTGCCCACGCCGGCCACATCCAGGCGAGGAGCCGGGCGAAAAGGGGCAGCAGAAGCCCCCGAACCCTCTGCGAGGGAGAGCCCCCCACAAGCTTGACTACAATCAGGCTGATTTTGAAAGGTGGCTGAGGATCTGCAGTGCCCTGGCTCAAAGAGAACAGCGATAAACCAGTGCAAGAGGCGCTGCACCCCGCGCCAACGCCGCTCACGGCTCCTCCACAAATGAATCATCAAATGACATTTAAAAACCAGCAGTACGTGTCGGTTAATCATAGCGAGAGGGAGCTGCTGGCTAACAGGGAATATCCCCTGTTAAACCCCGGGGAGCATTTCTTCCAAAGAAATCAAAATAAAACTACCAGTGGATTTAAACTCTTCCCCCCAGACCAATACACCCCTCCCCACCAAAAAGGAGAAGCCCTCCCGACCCCCCCACGCCGCAGAAAGGTGAACCCCAAAGCTCCTGCTGGGGATTGCAGCTCAGCAGCCTCAGCCCTACAAACACAGCAGAGCCCACACAGGAGCGTCTCGGTGCTGGGGAATTTCTAAATTTTTTTATTTTTAAGTGACAAGCAGCTCCCCAGGGCCAGATCTCATCTCTCGGCTCTTGTTCCTGAGCAAAACCCCCCACTTCCGCAGCAGCGCCTTCGTGCCTTCTCCTTTTATGCTCAGTTCTGGTTGGGGCCCCAAAGTTTATGACAGGGATGATTGTTTTTTTTTAAAATAAACACCAAAAAAAAAAACCCAAAACCCCATGAAGCAGCCTTGTCAGTATTACTGATACAGAAACCTCACCCTGGGGTGAAGCACTGCCCAGCCAAGTGCTCTCTCCTTCTCCAAAAGGCAGACACATGCACCCAAGCACCCAGAAAAGGGCCAGATTCATCACTGCGTTAATAAGTTTGCAGATTAATTCAGTGCAGTAACTTTCCCCATCTCCCTATCCACCCGGCAGGTGCAATTTTTACCATCGGCGCATATTTTGCGAAGCCAAAACCACAGGTCCCTGTCTGGGAGCCTGACCCTGGGGATGGCAGGGCTGATGCCTGCACCACCGCCCCCCTAAAGCTGAAAAACCACATTTGGAGTCGGCTCCTCCACCGTGGATCCCCCCAAGGATGGGATGGGGGGCACAGCAAAAGGTTGAGACAAGGATGAGAAAAGGGAGCGGGCAGAGCCCCCCTCCCCACCAGCATCCCTGCCCTCCGCCGGCTGCGAGCTCATTTTGGCAGCACCTGCAGCCAAACGTGCAGAAACACAGACACCCCCCAACCCGTGGCCACCAACCCCCCCACCTCCCGGCTCAGCGCAGCCCCCTCTCACTAGTTTTTTAAGCCGTTACCTTGGCAGGGACCTTGCTCGGCGCGCTCCGGAAGAAAGAGGTTTTTGCCGTGAAAAAGCAATCCTCGAGGTCTTCATCCAAGCTACAGTACCCGCTGCTCATGCTGCTGCTGCCGATGGTCATCGAAGCCCGGCAGAGGCGAGAGGCCGAGGGTACAGGGGGGTGGCCGGGGGGTTCGGGGGGTCGGTGACCATCGGTGGTCCCCGCTCCGGCGTCCGGCTCTCACATCCTCGGCCACCCGGCGCTCATCTGCACCAGCTCCTTCTGCTCATCCTCCTCCGGAGCCAGCGGAGCTATTTCTCTTTAACAGGCAGCCGTGCCGGGTAACCCTTCCCTCTCCTCCTCCACCCGCCTCCCTGCGCAGCGGCGCTGGGGCAGCATGGAAGGGGACGAGCTGAGCTCGATCCCCCGCTCTACGACGGTGCCCGTGGTGGTGGCTCGTCACCCGCCGCCGGGTCCCCCGGGTGCCCGCACAGCATCGCCTCGCCGCCCCTTCCTGCGCCGGCCTCGCACCCCACAGCCCTCCCGCTTCCTCTTGCGACACGTCTCTATCTCTCTCTCTCGGGTTTGGGCTCCGGGTACCCCCACAGCACCTCCTCTGCCACCCAAAATACACAGCCATGGCAGGCTGGCTTCTCGCTCCTGCCCATCCTGGAGCCACGTTATCTGCTGTCTCAGGGAAGGAAGCCCAGGTTGGACCCAGCCTGACCGAAGGTGGTGGGGAAGGGGGGATGCCAGCAAGGATGTGGCCTCAGACCCTCCTTGGGGGTGTTGCAGCCCCCAGACATCACACTTGGGGAGGCAGCGGGTGCCCCTCTGCTCCACAGCTAATTTTAGAGCAGCAGGAGCGATTTCAGCAGCGCTGGCACCCGACTGAGGCAGCTCTGACTGCAGCCCAGCAAAATGCCGCTCAGCTCCTGGGTCCTGCTTGCAAGAACCACTCGCTCCAGACTGATTAAAATGCTGTGCTGGCCTCAGAAAGAGCCTCAGAGCCACGGCATCATCCCTGCTCCCCTGTCCCCCTGCAGAAACCCAGCACTGCCTCCTCCATCCCTCTCCCTTTGCCCCTCCAGAGCCACCATCATCCCCCCAATACCCTGCATTTTACCCAGCAGCCTTTAAAGCAGCTGTGACCTTCCTCCCCGGTGAAGATCACAGGTATTTCTGGAGAGAGGGGCTGGGGAAGGGCACTGCTCCCACAGGTTCTCATCCACCCTCAGCGGGGCTCCCATGAGGGTCCATGCATCCACAGGGATGCAGCACATCCACGGGGATGCAGCACATCCCGGCACAGGCTCTCCCCACCCACCTGGAAACCAGCGTGGACTCATGAATAAATTGAGGAGACAAAAAAAAAAAGCCTGACACACCATGTTAAAAGGACTCAGCTTCAGCAACATGGTATTAATGTACACACTAACAATTCTCCACCATATTTCAGTGAAGAAAACGGGAACAAGGCCTGAGAGTATCGTGCCACTGAATAAACCCATCCTACACCCACGCTTCAAGAACTTCACACAAGACCTGGCCAGCCCATCCAAGAAAGTTTAAAGAGTTGCAAGAGGTACCACAAAAGACAGGACGGACTAGAGGTAGAGGAAGGTTTCCGTGCCTGGGGCCAGCCTGGATCTGGAAAGGAAGGACTAGAAAGACGGTAGCTGCTGTGATGGAGAACTACAAAAGCACTGGAGATGTTCACATGAAAAGCGAGATCACAGGTATTTCTGGAGAGAGGGGCTGGGGAAGGGCACTGCTCCCACAGGTTCTCATCCACCCTCAGCGGGGCTCCCATGAGGGTCCGTGCATCCATGGGGATGCAGCACATCCGTGGGGATGCAGCACATCCCGGCGCAGGCTCTCCCCACCCACCTGGAAACCAGCGTGGACTCATGAATAAATTGAGGAGACCAAAAAAAAAAGCCTGACACACCATGTTAAAAAGGACTCAGCTTCAGCAACGCGGTATTAATGTACACACTAAAAATTCTCCACTGTATTTCAGTGAAGAAAACGGGAACAAGGCCTGAGAGTATCGTGCCACTGAATAAACCCATCCTACACCCACGCTTCAAGAACTTCACACAAGACCTGGCCAGCCCATCCAAGAAAGTTTAAAGAGTTGCAAGAGGTACCACAAAAGACAGGACGGACTAGAGGTAGAGGAAGGTTTCCGTGCCTGGGGCCAGCCTGGATCTGGAAAGGAAGGACTAGAAAGACGGTAGCTGCTGTGATGGAGAACTACAAAAGCACTGGAGATGTTCACATGAAAAGCGCAGCAAGTTTAACACCAAAAGGAGGATGGTTTTCCAAAAGGAGGCCGTGCATGATCAGATTTGCAGAACTCACCACTAGATATTCTGGAGGTGGATGTGCAGAGTCAGACTCACCAGAAAGAGCTCAATGACAGATATTAAAAATGATGGTTCAGACACAACCCCAAGGAGCACCCGTGGCACCGCTCGCAGGGAGGTCACAGCAGCAGCACAACCATCCTCACCACGAGGCTTCTGGTCCTGCAACACCCACCACCCGAGCAGAGAGAAGGTGCTGCCATGCCCCGACGGCCTTTTTAATGTTAATTCCTTCACATCCTTTCCAAGGCACAACTCTCATCATCATTAAGTGCTATTTTTACGCCGGGCATCGAGCAGCAGCCTTGGCTCTACTCCCCAGCTCAACTCCCCACAACAGGACCACCATCAAACCCTTCCCGCAAACTGGGGCTATTGCTTCCTCCTTCAGGTCACAGGGCTCCTTTGGTTGGTCCAAAAGCTCTCCAAGATCTTCGCGCAAACTACCATCCAGGCACAAAAAACCTCTTCCCCTCTTGATAGGCTGCAGATTGCGTTTCATACCCTTCCATCTGTATCTGCTCACTGAAGGACTTAAATTGTTACAGGCCTCTGAGAGCTCCGTACCCCACAGCCAGCAGCATCCCATGAATACCAACTGGGATGCCGATGTAAAGACGAGCAGGACACAACATCTGCATCCCAAAGAGGGAGGCAAGAATCCAAATGGCTTATTTACAAAGCAACTCGTAACAGTGCAAATAAATAAGGCATCCCCTTAGCAGCACGCGTTCTCCTGCCACGGCACAAACCTCCTCAGCTTCACAGGGCTATATTTAGAAGAGAAAAGAGGCTTAAATTGAACATGTGCCACACAGAAAGTGAACTTTGGGCTGATGAACGGCACAGGCATCGAGTTTTCACCAAAGCCTCAGCCCAGTGGGAAGGAATCCAAATGGCTTATTTACAAAGCAACTCGTAACAGTGCAAATAAATAAGGCATCCCCTTAGCAGCACGCGTTCTCCTGCCACGGCACAAACCTCCTCAGCTTCACAGGGCTATATTTAGAAGAGAAAAGAGGCTTAAAAACATGTGCCACACAGAAAGTGAACTTTGGGCTGATGAACAGCGAGTTTTCACCAAAGCCTCAGCCCAGTGGGAAGAGGGTGCCACCAGCTTTGCCGTGCCCCACGCTGGATCCGCTCCCACTGCTTTGCTCCATGGACTTCTCCAAGAAGCCTTGGCTTCTCCACTGCAGTCTACCTCTTGGGAGACCAGCTCCATAAAAAAAACAACCAAGCCAAAAAACCCCAATGCAATTTTGACGCGTTGGCTCAGCAGCAGCTCCAGTTAATGGTTACCAGCACCCAGCGAGTTTTCACCAAAGCCTCAGCCCAGTGGGAAGAGGGTGCCACCAGCTTTGCCGTGCCCCACGCTGGATCCGCTCCCACTGCTTTGCTCCATGGACTTCTCCAAGAAGCCTTGGCTTCTCCACTGCAGTCTACCTCTTGGGAGACCAGCTCCATAAAAAAAACAACCAAGCCAAAAAACCCCAATGCAATTTTGACGCGTTGGCTCAGCAGCAGCTCCAGTTAATGGTTACCAGCACAGCAGCCCCTGGAGAACCCACCCACCAGTGACCCACACCAGTTTGTGGGTGGGAAGTGCTCGACCAGACCAGGGACCAAACTCCTGGTGCTGCTGAGACCGGCCAAGGCTTCTGTCGGCGGAGGCTGGATTTCACCCAGGGAGGCTAATCTGGGACCCAAATGTAACGCACTCCTAAGTACTTTGCTGGATCAAAGCCCAAATTATTAATGCCTGGTATTACACGGTAACACTACTTAACTACGTGATATTTAAGTAGCTATTTCTCTGATGCTTCTAGTTTGCTTACATTTGATAATACTATTTAATGACTTCCAACTATGCCAGCTATTAATTAAAGTTTCTTGTGCTTTGAGTGAGCAATCCCCCTTCCCCCCCTCCCAGTGTATTCAGGCACCCTCTCAGGCTCTTTCCAGAATATTGACACTGTTTTCCCTCCATCCTTTTCAGGAGCAAAACCTTCTCAGCCAACCCCAGGAACGTGGCTGTGCACTCAGCTTTGTGGGTCCAGATCAAGTCAACTCAAAGATGATTTTTCTCTGATTATCTATTATCCACAAATAAGAACGGAGCTTTATTGCAGTGATTTACCCTTTTCACCCTCAAACCAGTCACCTCTTGCCCCCCCCCCCAGCCTCGCAGCCTTTCCCAGCCCAGGGAACGAGACTCCAGC